ATACAAATTAAAATTATTCCATGGAAAATCATCATCATTTTTGGCTAGCACTAGCTAATTCCCTTTGGCCATTCAAGCCCAAGTTCAGCAAAGTACTTAAGTGTCTGAATAACTATAAACACTTGTTGTAATCCCACTGAACTCACTGGCCTCAAATTCTCCCATGTGTCTGAACTTGGGCCAGTGCAGGTAGACATGATCCCAACTATTGCTGAGGGCGTTGGTCTAATGTACACCAGTGGAGCATCAGCTCTATTTTTTTCTAGCCTTGGAATCTATGCTCCTCCCCAACCACTGCCATATTCATCCCTTCATACCCTCACACGAGGGAACTGAGGCACTAGCTTAACTGCTTCTGTTGAGCTGATATTTGGGGGTGGCGGTTCTCCTCTGCTGAAGGAATTCTCTACTAGCCCTTTGTTGTCTAGAATCCATCTGCTTTGCCCCACCTGGGCGAGGAAAAGTGGCCAAAGGTGACTGGAGATTGTGGCCCATTCCTATGCTTAAAGTCACACGTGCATTTGAGCACCTTGCTGAACTGGTGCCTGAGTCCTTGGCTTCTCCATGAGTGTGCCAACCAAAGGAGATGACTGTTGTTCTATAGACACCTTTCCCTGGTCTGTGACTCCACAACTCATTGCATACAAGTTACAGAGCAGTTGCTGAATGGCTAGGAAACCACTCCATTGTGTGTTTCAATGCTTATGGATTTAAGAGACTAAAAGCCCTGGATCTGAGCCTCGGCAACAACCTCAGCTGTTCCAGCCCTTGCACAAAGATTGCCAGTTGGGTGATTATAATTATATGCTGTACTTTCATTTGAGCTGATTACTTGAGCCTCACATGAGTTATTGAGCTGATCTTTCTCTGCTCGTATAAAAATGAAAAGACTCCATTCTTGAATGTTAATGACATAATAAAGTCCCCTGTCTCGATTTCTACAGAGGAGAGAGAGCATTGTAACTGGCACTTTTTTGATTGTTTGTTTGTTTGTGGAGTTTTTATTTATTTTTTTAGTTTTGCTTATACCCCATGGAGATGCTGGTAAATATTTTTACAATACTAGTTTTACATGCGGAAATCTTGTGCTAAACCTCTTATTAACAATCTCCTGCTATTCATTAAGACTTCCTGACAGCATTATTTCTCCTCTGTCAATTAAGAACTCCAATTTTCAGTACTTAAACCAAATTACATCTGCTGCTTTGCCTCTTCAAATCTTCATTTACCACTCCTGTCTAAGCAAAAACCAGTGAGATGTACAATCTGAAATCTACAGACCTGATACTGTTTTCACATCAGTTTTTTCTCCTGTTGATATGAGGTGTTACTTCTGATTTGCTATGGTGTAAGGTCAGGATTCAGTCCTATCTTAAAAATATAAACATTCACACCCACACACTTCAAATAAATTCTGTATTTTTCATTGGAACACCCCAGCTGTTTCTGTGCCACTTTTTCTCAAAGGCCCCCTGCTGCACCTAGTTCCCACAGTTGTCAATTTTTTCCAGAAGAGAGATAATCAAAAGGATTTTGATTGTGTTACCTGTGAAATGAACTTAAGCTTCCCCAGTTGCTTACTAGATAAGGACCCAGGAGACTTGGATTCTTCTTCCCCACTCTTCCACTGGCCTACTAGGTGACTGTGGGGAAGTGAGGTTACGTCTTGTGTGTCTGTTTCCCTGTCTGTCTGTAAAATGGGGACAATAATACTGACCTTCACTTTCAGATTTCCTGATGAAAAGTGCTATACATGACATAGAAGATATTAAACAGGAAGGGGGGGCGGGTCTTTAATTTTATCCCTTAACTTTTCTTTCATCTGTAGCACTTTGAAAATAGTCTCTTCCTTAAAAAAGCCCACCCAAATAATAAACAGTCAGGTCTCAGAACATCTAAATTTAAACATGGGTGAGCAGACCCACTGATGCTAATAGGACTACTCAGATGTTCTTAATATCATGTGTTTTGCTGAAGCATAATTGGTAACAGTAACTTTAATGGCTGAAACTTAATTCAGTAGTTAGTTATCATGCTGTACTGTAGGGGTGATGGCAGGAAGGGAGCTGAGGAAGTAGTGGTTTGGGGTTTATTTACTGGCATTTAAAAGGCAGCTGCAAAGCATTAAAGGACCACTTGAAGCCAGATGAAGATGTGTAGCCTTCCATTAAGGTCCTGATCAAGGATGTTGATGGTTTCAGCTACTGGAAATACCAGAAACAATACGGCCTACATTGGTTGTGCATCTTAAGTGTGCTGATGCTTTGTGGCCAGAGTTTAAATCCAGAGAATTGTTTCTTGTATTCAGGTCAGAGTGGCTGTACCTTTTTTTTTAAACCTTTCTCTGCTGCATGGAGTATGAGTCACTTGCCAAGATCATCTGGGTATTTTATATTTAACCTGTTCCCTGCCACTGGGAAGGCCTTAGGCAGGGGAGGCAGGTTTGCAAAAATGTTGGTGGTTCCCAGAATACCAGAGCCTGGGCTCTGAGGGGGACGACGGGACTTGGATGCAGGTGGGGTTATGGGACTTAGGCTCTGGGAGGGAATATGGGTATAGGATGGGGTGAGGGGGTGCAGGCTCTGGGAGCTGCAGGAGGGGAGGGAGTTTGGGGGCAAAATGGGGGTGGGGAGAAGGTACAGGCTCTCTCCTTGGCGGGGATCTTCAGTTGCTGCTGTTCCCGCATGCTCCTTGGCTCCTGCCGCACAGCATGGAGAGTGCTCCCTCAGTCCCCTTGACCACAGGGATGCATGCACATGCCAGCAGCTGGGGTAAGTGGCCGGAAGATGCTCTTACTCTGCTGCACTGCAGGTGGTGGCGGCGGAGTCTCTCCAGGCATTTGAAATTGCCCAGGGTTGGCAGGTGGCAGAGGGGCTGGGGGACTCAGGGCCAGGTGGTGAATTTTGATGGAATTCAGCTCCGGGCCAGGAATATTCCTGGCGCCGGGACACCATGGGCCCATATAACTCGTCTTCTGTGGCCCTGGGAACTGGAGCACCTTGTGCCATCTGTGCTCTGTCAATGGCACATCCTAATATAACCTCCTATGGGCTGTAATATATTGGACTTATTTTGATTCTGGGGTTAGTGTGTGGGTGCTGTTTGGTATTAGTGGTCTGTGAGATACAAGGGGTCAGACTAGATGATCCGGTTGTTTCTTTTGGCATTAAACTGTGTGACTATGTTAATTTGGATTTTAGAGCATTACCCTACTGGCCACCCATACATACATATATATATAAAAAAATGAGGGGGAGGGGAGGGAGGTTTCAGTGGGAGTTGTGTAGCTAAATACTCTTAGACAGCTTACACACATATATATAGTTCCTTGTCTGAAGCTAGTTGCCTTACACCAGGGCTACTCAAGTTTGGAAATCCCGGGGGCCACAATGATACAGCCCATGCCGAGGGCTGCAATTTAAGTGTGTGTGTGTGTGTGTGTGTGTGTATATATATATATATATATATATATGTGCAAATAGCTTCTTTCTCACCTACGGGCATGAATACAAAGTTTAAGGCGAGACTACACAATGCACAGGCTCCATTTAAGTCCATTCTGCTGATATTAATACAATGCAATATTTACCCAATTTCCACCCATATGCCAGCACTTTTAATGAGCAATCCAGGAATTGAACTATTTAAAATGCATATCAACAAAAGACCATTATATTGACTACTACTTTGTTTTGGCTTCCACCCGCGGGCCGCGTGTTGAGCCCCAAGTAAACACCACGGACCGCAAACAAATGGAGTGTGGGCCACATGCAGCCCATGGGCCATGTGTTGAGTAGCCCTACTTTACCCACAAATCATCTTCTTTCTCAGTCATGAAATTAAGTCTATTCCAGTCAAAATTGTATTCCTAGGGAAGCACCTTGTCCTCTTCACGCCCTTAATACCGGTAAAAGAACTGGAGTGGCATTGAGGATCCATAAAAGTTCTGTATTGAACTGGTGGAAGAGTCTATCAGTGAAGACAATATAGAAGACAGACATAAGGTTGTCTTCTGAGCACTGTCTCCCAAGTGCTGGCACATAGTGCGTTCAGGGAGGGACAGAGCCGGATGTTGGAGGGGCATGTTGGGAGTGGGTCACAGCACTTAATATTTCAAGGATTCTGGGTGGTGCTGCAGTCCATAGGCAGTTGGACAGGTTGCTTAGCTAGACACCTGGCAAGATCTATGTTGCTCTAGGGCTTCAGAGCATCCCAGGATCAAGAGGGTGCAAAGGTGTCTTAAAGCCACCTAAATTTCACTCCTTTTAAGAGAGTCAGCATTTATTGCCACCTTTTGTTCTTGTGATCAGGCCCAGTAATATGAGAACATGGCCAAGAGGCAGAAATTCTCAGTCCCCTGCCCTTCCATTAGGGTTACCAATCCTCCAGGATTGGTCAGGATTAATCACCATTGATCTTCCAGTGACTATTGAAAGCAATCCAGGATATTTTAAAAGGAGAAAAAAACCTCCCGAAATAGCCTCATTCAGAGTTGGCAGCCTTACCTTCCACTAACCTGCTGTGGGATCTTGGACAAGTCATTTAAGACCTCCCCTTCCCCCCCAATTTTATTTATATTTGTATAAATCAGGAATAACTCCACTGAAATCAGTGAAGTAACGCTGAGTTTAATCATGCTGAATATTAAATTACAGCACAGGTAAGGCTATAATTCAACACATGTTCTTGTAGGTAAGAGGTTATTCAGTACAAGTAAGGGTATAACAATGTGACCAATTTTGTCTGAGATTTCCCATCTTTAAAATAGGGCTATTAGGCAATTAATACTTATTTGACTGAGAAGGGGTTCTGTGAGTCTTAATTTATTATCATTTCTGAAAGGCTTTGAGTTCAGATATAATCTTGTGAAAGCCTGCATGTAAAAATGACTACTTCAGTCATCTGTAATAAAGATTAAAATTTGTCATGCCAATAAAGTGTCTTTCTTTTTCATTTTAATTAAGAGTTAAGTTGTATAATATTCTTTTGTTCCCTCCTAGCTGGCTGACCGCAACAGCTTGCCCAGAAATTTCATGAAGGTAGTGAGATCTAATACATTTATAAGCTGTGAGCTTTTTTTGAATCTGTGGGACTGCCTCTGAGCTTTGGTGGTGGCTGTTTGGTGCTCTGGCGGATCTTTCTTTCAAATGCTCATGTTGGCAATTTCCATTTTTAATAATCTGAATGTATTTAATGCACTCCTAATTATTTCTAACTTCTGCTTCACACTGGTGAAAAAGATATGGGTAACTTTGTGACTGTACTATCAAAAATTAATATTCAAATCAAAGCCATTTGAGAATGTGAGGAGGAGCTCACAGCTAAATGGCTTCTGGACCAGTATGTGTCTGGAATAATAGCGAAAGCTTTCAAACGAAACCTCCTATGTAATTACCCAGATGCAAACAACTGATTGTTGAGTGTCAGAATTGAGGCAGTTTCAATTACTAGGACAATTATGGTGCAGTGAATTGCTGCCAGTAGGTGGTAAAGTATATACACCACAGCAACAGGCAGGTGACTAGATAAAGTATTGTACTATTGTCCATAAGTACATTGCCCCTTTCCTAATTAACTCTTAGTATAATCTATAGGCCTTCCTCAGTAAATTGCACCTAGACACTGCAGATGACAACATGTGTTTCCAGCTTCTGATATCACCCACTCTCCTTTCAGCTGTCAAATCTGAAGGAACTCAGTTCCCCGAATGCCCAGTCCTTCACCTGCTGACTTGTCTAATCTGCTTCCTGACCTGCATTCTCAGCTATGAGCTCCTACTTCCCATATTTCAGGGACATTTTGCTACAACATAGACATGTTCTTTCGCTCTCTTGTCTACCTAATTGCACGCTCTCTCTCTCTCTTTTTTTTTCTCTCTCTCTCTCTCTCCTCACACACTCATCTCCCCTTTTTTCTCCACCCCTGAAATCAGAATGCTTCCATAAACACACCTGATCAGGATTCCAGTGCTCAGAATGCTAACTTTCCACATGTGGGCTTCAGATAGGAAATGTGGTGTTCTAGATCTCCAGAGTGAAGCCAAAATAATCTGGGTGAAATTAGCCTCTGTAGAGAGGGCGAGGACCTATGCAGCAATCAAGTCTCTGAAGAGTTTAAATGGTCCAGATGTCTTGTCCTGCCTCACTGGATAGGATGAAATGTACCTTAAATGGTTAAATTAGACAAAAAAAATCAAACCTTATGCTAGTGGGAGAGTAGAGCAGACTCTAAAAATGGAAACTGTCCCTCTCTCTAGAGGTTGGTATGCTGGTGTGACATTTGCTTCTAAAGTATGTAAATCTTTTATAATAGTGTTGTCAAAAATATAGCATATTGTGACTGTTGAGTTTATAGCAAATGTAAGGGACCTTTCCATTTAGTTTTACTCCATGTAAAATATTATTTCCTAAAAAGCTCTGTTTTATAACAGGTGTAATAAATTATGACACTGTGACCTGCGGGTTTCATTTAAAAGTGATAAAAAAATGTTGGTTACCCTTTGAGTTCAGGATTTCTCCTGAAAGAATAGATGTCTCCACCAATACTAATAATAGTTCAAGAAAATGTTGTGTTTTAGTGGCTTTCTCTGTTCTTGAAAGGAAACCTCAGAGCCTTGAATGCATGGCTTATCAGGTAAGTCAAAAGTAAATGCATCTTAGTTACTTTGATTTAAAATATCATGTTCTGTGCATAATTGGTTTGTGGCCATGGTTTTAAATATACTGTGGGTGTGTGCAAGATTTTCTTTTCCCTTTCAAAATGATTCTACCCAGCACTTAACAATAGTCTAAATATAATTTTCCTAAAGTTTTGCTGTTCAGTTTAAAATGGATGCTAATGGACTAAAAGCCCAAGTTTGATCACCAGTTTCACACCATTTCAAGATTATTGACTTTATGGAGTTGCTCCTGATGTACATTGGTGGGTGGGTAAATGAAAGGATAATCAGAGCCAACAACTGTCTCAGGTTGCCATGGAAAAATCCTTTTCATATGGGCGGCGGCGGGGCGGGGAACCTCCTGATGCATTGGCTCACCTTGTTAGGCAATGAGTCAAGCCCATCAGTATAACATACAGATGTCCCTTTAAGTCAGCATCAAAAAGTTAAAATAGTCGAAAGATGAAGCATGTAGTGCAAGGTCTAAAAATTCTGACCTCCAGGGATGTCTAGAGTCCGTGACATTGTCTGCAGTTGTCCATTCAGTACTTCCCAATCCCCTCCTGAAAAGAGTCCACTGACAGTAAATAAAAAGTCCACACACTCAAGTTATCAAAAGAAGATCCTTTTCCACAGCGCTGGGTTTCACAAGAGTGATGCTTCTTTCTGTTTTCAGTGCAAATAGAACTAGAAAATGCCAGCTTTGACAGGCTGTGGGAAGGTAAAAAAGAGAAGAAAATTATCCATGAGGAAAACAAACAAACAAGCACACAAAAAACCCATGACAGAAGAATCTAGGGAAAAAGCTCTAGTTCTTCAATGCTAGACACAAATGTAGAATCTACTTATTTTCCTTCTGCAGAGATCTTCAGCAGTTCCAACTATTGATAAAGGAAAGAAAAATATTTTCAATTAATGATAATAGCTGTGTTCTGAATGCTAATTCACTGATTATTGGCAGCTGACAATGTCATTTTCTAATATTCCTGTGTTATTTAAGAACACACAATTGAAGGAAAGGCAGCCTATTAAGTCTAGTGCATTAGGACCTCTGTGACAGTAACATAATTCTAATTTAAATAGTTCCATAGATTTACTAACCTCATTCATAAATGCTGAAAAAGATATGCGTGGCTGTCAAGAAAACTTGGGTGGGTCTTTGTTTAATATTGGAATGATCCATTTTATTGTATAATAGTGTATAGGAATTAGTTGTGTATCTAAAAATATAATTTGTCAAACTTGCCGGAAAGCTCTTATCTGCATAGTTGGTTCATCATAACTATGGCACTGACTGAATGGAAAAAAAAAGGAAAATTAATGTTTCTGCTTATTACCTTGACCTTCAAAAAGCAACATAAACATCATCCGTCTTTCCATGCTAGTTGCATTGTAATCAGATTGAATCACCCGGATCACAGCAGATCAAAAGTAACAGGTCACAATTTATTCTCTCTGCCAAGAAGAGTAATGGGCTTTGATTCAGATTTCAGGTGGGTGATAATGGTTTTTAAAAGTTTCCTAGTAAAATTGATTGAAATTTGTCAAAAATTTGAGATATTTAACAAAAAATGATTTTTGTGAGAAATGTTGCCTATTTTTTTCACCCAGTTCAACATATTGCCATGGTTTATTTTATTAATTATTATACAGGCAGTCCCCGAGTTACGCGGATCCGACTTATGTCGGATCCGCAGTTACGAACGGGGCTTTTCTCGCCCCGGAGGACGGGAGCGGCGGGACACCCAGATGCGCCGCGGTCCGCCGCCCCCGTCCTCTGGGGTGAGAAAAGCTGCTCGTCTCCCTGCAGACCAGGGAGACGGGAGCAAAGCCGCGGAGCACGCGGGCAGCAGGACAGCCGCGGTGCGTCTGGGCTGTCCCGCTGCCCCCATGCTCCGCGGCTTTGCTCCGGACGCCTGTGGTACAGCAGCTGGGGCGCTGTCGGTTGGTCCCATAGCGCCGCTCTGGGCGCTACTGGACCAACCCGGCAACACCCCAGCTGCTCTGCCCCAGGCATCCTGATTCAGCCGCTGGTGGTCAGTTTCAGCAGGGGCTGGAAGAGGGCGCG